TTATGTATCTTTTTATTATTATTTGCAACTCGGATATAAAAGTGGGATAAATATGAAGAAAACCGTAAAGTTCTGCGTTGCAACTTTCCATCCTCATTCTTGGGTCAAGTCGCTTTTAAACGACTCCCATGTACCAATGAAGACAAATAAACACCGAAGACATACGAAGTTGACGCGATAATGGATCGTCGCAGTAATGGCTTTATTGCTGATACGAGAGGTCATCGTTGGAAGCAGTTAGATAATATACATGGATGTAGATGTTGCTCAATCATCGCAGCGAAGATCACGTCTGTTGCGTGTATAACTTTGCCGACAATACGTAATAGAAGCGTTTTTGCCATTAAATATTCGGCCTGTGCATTCCTCTTGCTTTAGGTTCGTGTTAGATTAGGTATTAGGTATTAAGGATTCAAGATTAAAGATTGGAATTTAAAGAGTCAATTAATCTCGATTTTTCACTCGCTTTATCCCAATCAGTTGGTCTTCATCTTCAATCTTTGAAATTCAGATACATTCTAAAATTTTTAACTTCATATTTCTTAAATTAATGCGATAAGGTCAAACAATATATTTATATATTATATATATATATATATATTTATATATTTATATTTATATCTATACATGCATCTTTGCTTTTACTTTGTGTTTCTCTCTTCCAATTAATTAATTTCTAATTAATTTTCTTCTGATTACTTAATTTCCATTCATTAATATTTTCTTATTGATATATTTTTTTCTTTTATATACTACTTTTTTAATTATCTAGTACTAATTGTTAAATATGTGTACAAATTGTTATTTAGTGCTTAAGCCTTTTCCTCAAAAAGTCAATCATAAATCATTTTCTTTAAATTCATGAGAAGTAAACATTTTATAATTGAGACGCATCAGAAGATGTTCAATCTTTATAAATTTACGTTAGAAGAAAGAGATTTATGATCGCTGTCCTGAGTATGTAGTAATTAACGCATTTTCTCTTTCTCTCTCAATCCACGTAATCTTCAATCTCCCTATTTCAACTGTCCAAGAACTAACCTAGCTTTGTTTCACTCTTGAAAGATTTTGAAGGATGCCACAAAAATATAGGAAACTGGATACTCTGTTGATATTTATCATAGTAGTCACAGTAAGTTCTTCCAACTTTACAGCCTGGTTTTATAAATATCCAGGATTGGGAAAGTTACTTCGTAAAAATAACTAGTTACAGTTACAGTTTCCTTCACTGAAAAAGTAACTAGTTACAGACAAAAGTACAAGTTACTGACTTTCAAAAGTAACATGTTACAGTTACAATTACTTAAAAAGTAACGAGTCGTTACTTTTCAGTTACTTTTGTATAATAAATGTGCTATTATTTTAAATTTCGTAATTGCGTAAATTTCAAATTAATTTAAATTATACCTTAGTTAATTATACTTTATTATGAATATAAAATGTTATACATTACAATGTTACTTTATTATAAATATATTGAATAATGAATAATACCTCGAATACTTCCGCATATGCTGGCCATGGCACTTAAAAATCTTTTTATATTCATTGCGATGTCTTATCCATTGCTTCAATTTTTAAGTAACTGGAACCACGCAGTGTACTTCACGCTAAACGCTGGTTATGTTAACGACTAAGGACTGGCGACGCGCAACGGAAATGTCCAATAGGAATATAATTTTTTGAAAGGAACACAGATTGCGTTCAAAGAGGAGACTATCAGCGCTATTGCGTCATTTTATCTTTGTTTTATATCTAATGAATAATAAAGATGGCGCAATAGCATACTTTCCGAACGCAGCTAGAATAACTATTGCTTATTGTATATCGAGCATCACACGTAGCATTATCATGCTACCCACAGATGTCTATATTATAAACATCTGTGGTACTACCAGAAACTTAGGTTTGAAATATATAAAGTAACTATTAAAGTAACTATTAAATTAGTTACTAGTTACCAAATAAATGTAACTAAGTTAAGTTACAGTTACAGATGGAAAAATGGAACGAAGTTAAGTTATAGTTACCAAAAAAAGATAACTGTAACTGTAACAAGTAACGAGTTACTTCCCAACCCTGTAAATATCCAACATGTCGATAAAACCATAACATGTGAAAATAAAGGCACAAAAATGGTATCATTTTCTTCTGAGCAAATTTGTCCCTCAACTCACTAAAAAGTATCGCTTATATTAGGTATGTGAATTAATTCGGTCTATCTGGCAGTCAATTGCTGTACTATGTAATTTTCTAACCTTTAATATCTGCAAAAGGCTTTATTTTTTAATTTTGATATCTGGCAATAACATTCAGTTGATAAACGTTTGGGTTTGTAACAACAACATAGTGTTTATCTGATTCGAAGATGTCGAAAATTCCAGCCAAAAAAGCATCATTTCCGGGAAGTTCTCATTTTCTGTTTTCATTTGAAGAAAACAGTCGCTGAAGCTCATCGAATGCTCGTAGAAGCTTATGGTGAAAGTGCTCCCACCGATAAATCATGCAGAGAATGGTTTCGACGTTTCAAAAGTGATGATTTCAGTGTCGATGACAAACCTCGTCCAGGTCAGCCGAAGAAATTCGAGAACGAGGAATTGCGGGCGCTAATCGATGAAGATCGGTGTCAATCGCAACATGAGCTCGCGCAATTGTTGAATGTTGATCTATCAACAATTTCTGTGCGTTTGGCAGCTATGGGAAAGATTTACAAAGAAGAAAGATGGATGCCATACGAACTGAAAGAAAGAGACATCGAGAGGCGAAAAACCATGTCTGAAATCTTGCTTGCCAGGCAAAAAAGAAAAGGTTTTTTGCATCGTATTGTGACTGGAGACGAAAGGTGGATATATTTCGATAATCCCAAACGAAGGAAATCCATTAGCGACCCAAGAAAACCATCCACATCGATACCAAAGCGGCAAGAAAGTAATGCTCTGTATATAGTGGGACCAGAAGGGTGTAGTGTGAAGGGTGTAAACTAATTAAAACAGAGCCAAACCATCACTACCGAACTTTACCAACAACAATTGATCCGTTTAAACAACGCATTGAAGAATAAGCGGCCGGAATATGCAAAAAGACACGACAAAGTGATCTTCCAGCACGATAACGCTCGGCCACATGTTGGAAAGATTGTGAAGGCCACCTTCGAAGCACTTGGCTGGGACGTTTTACCTCACTCGCCGTATTCATCAGACATTGCTCCATTCGATTATCACTTATTCAGATCGATGGTACACGGGCTTTCAGACCAGCACTTCAACAATTATGAAGAAATAGAGAAATGGCTCAATGAATGGATCGCTTCGAAGGACGAGTCGTTTTTTCGTCACGGAATGCAACAATTGCCCAACAGACAGATGGGAAAAAATAATAGCAAGCGATGGCAAACACTTTGATTAGTGTACTTCTTCATGTTTTTTCATACTAAAGTCTTTTTCTGGAAGAAAAAAACGGACCGAATTAATTCACACACCTAATATAAAATGTTAACTTACTAATTTTTTTCTATATTTTTCATTTTTTTCTATAGTCTTATGTACACATTGATACATATGTGTTTCCAAAGCGTACAAAAATTCATCTGCCTACATATCTATTTATCTATTCATCTATGTATCTGCCTATTAAATACCTAGTCTGGTACAGGTTGTCAGGGACAGCTAAGTCGACATCCTGTATTCGGAGAACGGAGTGGAAATTGACCAGTTTTGCTCTTGTACACAAGCTCGTATGCAAAAAGACCCAAGAGAGAGGGAGAGAGCAAGACTCATCCCAAGAGAGAGGGAGAGAGCCAAGAGCAATGGAGCGGGTCCGTTACGTAGCACAGCGGAGCAGCGAAATATATATAGACAGCGAGAAAGAAGATGCGGTCAGCTGTAAATCGGAGCAGAGCGTTGACCTTGCAACGCAGCGGCCATTGCGAGTTATCGCATTCCAACTAGGATCGGAAGCCGCAGGCAACTCGCTCCCGAGCCGAGACGTATTCACCGGCCACGAATAATAAAGTTTTATATTTATTACGTACATACATATACCATACAGGCGCGCGCACACGCATGTTCGTATTATGTAAGACACAGTATGACTGCCCCCCTCCAGTTCGACATACCGACTAAGATAATCGCATTGTGCAAATATATTATTTCACGTTACCGAAGTCGCGCTTGTGCTTAAAGAGCGCGTTTAAAGATCGATCGAAGGATGGCGCTCGAATTCGCGAAGAAGCCCGAGGTGGCTCAAAAGCGGATCTCCTGAGGTCAATATTCGAAAATCTCAATAAAAATACCAATGAAACGATCGCACTGCGCAAATTTGTGTCTGTGTGTGCGCTTAAAAATCATGCTTAAAGATAGATTAAAGATAGCGTATGAAGCTCGATTAAATCCCCGAAGTGCGACTAAGCGCGATTTCTTCTAAAAGCACTTTTTCCTCGACATTAATCCACGGAGATCAGAAGTATCGATGAAGCAATCGTATGAGGAAAAATCTGACACGTCAGCGCACCTACTCATACGTGTGTTCGAAAATCGCACTTTGTTCGATAAAAGTTGATTTTCGAGAATCGATTAAACTCCTGAGGCACAACGAGGCGGGAAGAGTCTTCGACTCTTCGAAATGAATCTCCCGGGCCTGTTCCCGGAAATCTATGGAAGATCACCTCTCTGTGCAAACGCGCCATGTTACCAAAATCACGCGCATTAAAATACCGCTTGATGACTCATTAGAGAGGTGTTAGGGAGGTGTCTCGAGGCAGAAGATAAAGTCGCCGAGCTGCGACAAAAAGTCTCTGGCAACAGTTTCTCGAGACCATAATCTCCGGAGATTGATAAAAATATCGCGCGCTAGTTTCCGATAACGCGAGCTTCGTGTCCGATAAAACGAGCTTCGCGGCCGGTGCGAATAAGAAAGAGTCCGCTCGCTCGCTCGCTCGCTCGCTCGCTCGCGGAGAGACGCGTGGGAGAGCTCGGCGAAGAGGAGGGCTCCTCAAGAGCGGAGCAGATCGCATAGCGGCGTCAGCGGCAGTCGCCAGCTGGTCGTCGGCCTGATCCGCTGGTCCGCGTTCAGCACTCGAAGGCACGCTCCAGTGCGACCGCGTGAAACGAGGTGTTCCTCCTCGCTAGCTCTCGCAACTAGCGTGGACCGCCGTTCGTTCGAGCGCGACGAGCCTCGTCGATGCGCCGTCATCGTCGCCAACACTTTCGCGAGTGTCGCCTCTGTGATAGCGCGTCATCCTCGGGATGCACCGGAGCCGTCGTTGGTAATAACGACCAGCCGAGGCTCGAGGACGAGGAAACAGCATGTCGGTGTTCTCGAAGCTGATAGACCGCGCGTCCGCGCGCTACGGCGTCCGCCAAGAGACGCTGACGCGCGGTATCGTCGGCAGCGCACTCGCGCTTTACATGCTGAAGCTCGGCTATCCGTACTTGGCGGCCAGTATCAAGCGACAACTACTGCGACAACGACAACGACAGCAGCAGCAGCAGCAGCAGCGGCAGCAGCTGCAACGATGCCAGAGAGGAGACCAAGAGAGCCAGCGCGACGACGAAGTCTCCAAGCACGACGAGAAGAACGGTGTCGTTCGCGGTACCAGCAACGATGACGAGGTTGCGTTGTTACCGCACGATACGACCAGAAGTGCAGACGACGGCGGGAAACCGTTGGTCGGGCTGGACCGCGCGTTTTTGCGGCAACTGCTGATGCTGCTGCGAATCATGGTACCGGGATGGCGGAGTCGCGAAACGGGTCTGCTGGCCTGCGCGACCCTCACGTTGCTGGCACGCACCTTCCTGTCTGTTTACGTGGCCGAGCTGGAAGGCCAGATCGTCAAACGAATCGTGCTGCGCGATGTGCACGGCTTTTCTCACATGCTGGCGCGTTGGTTCGCCATCGCGCTACCTGCCACCTTCGTCAACTCTGCTATCAGATACCTCGAGGGTCGGCTGGCACTTAGCTTTAGGTACAACTTCTTCCGATTATCCCGGGATGTACACGGTGACCGTTCAGAAGATGTGCAGTCGATTCCGTTGCTCCGTTCGCGCTGCGTCTACCTTCTCTTCATCTGCTACCTTTGCTCTTCTTTTCTCCTGTCCTTCTTTCTTTCTTTTGTCCTTCACATTTACTTCTTCTCTGTTTTTCCTCTTCTTCTCTCTTGTGCTTTTCTCCTTCTAGTCTTCTTCTCTCTTTCCTCTTTTTCCTTCTTTCCTTCTAGTCTTCTTTTCTCTTTCTGCTTTTTTCTTCGCTTTTTCTCTTCTCCTCCTTTCCCTCGTTTCTTTCTCTTCTTCTTCTTTTCTTTTTCTACTTCTTCTTGCGCTACTGCTACTTTTTCTCCTTCGTTTACACATTTGACTTCTCTTTGCTCTTCTTCTTTTATTGTAAAGTGTAGAAATTTGTTTGTTTATAACTCTCTGAGAAGAAACGAATCATATATTTAGATCTAAGAACGAAAAGGATCGTTCCTTGCTTCAAAGAGGAGAATGAGAGACGTAAGGAGAAATATGCGGAATGCATAAGCAAAATGAATCGATCTATCCGTCTCTATTCGCACAGTTTTAGCGTCTAAAACGAAACAAGCGATATATTTGGAGCAGAATCGCAGTAAGATCTGGCGAAGAATTGGGCTGCTGCCAAAAACACAGAACATGAAACTCGGTCCTCTAAGAAATATATTGCCGCAAAGTTACTTATCAACCGTGACGCGTCGGTTTCATGCTTTAACCCATTAATGCCCGCTGGGACAGAAATTTCGCGTTGATTTCAATGTTATGAATTTTTATAAAAATGTTCGAAAATTTTAATTCAAAGTACATTACTAAGAGTTTTCGAGTTTTCGCTCTTTCCGAATCCGCTGCGAGAATCATAAAAAAATGAGTGTTTATATTGATTTATAACGGTATTTATTTATAATTATGTAAAATAAAAGTTGTCCTGTTGATCGAGTTCTTTCACGTGGTAAGACAATTTTTATTTTACATAATTTTTCATAAAAATGCACTCATAACGTTATTATTCAAGTTATTCGACCGAATTTCCAAGAATCCGGCGATATCTATGGTAATACATACATATAGTCGCCATATTGAAATTACTAAATTGCAAAAAATTTCAGAACCACATATATTTTAAGTACAAGTCTTGAGGACACGATTGGAGTACTTTTCAGTAATATTCAACATTTTTATCAAGATGAAATCCATGACTTAAAAAAAATTGACGAGAAAAAATCGCATTTTTTGGAAAAAAATACCGTTATAAATCAATACAAACACTCATTTTTTTATGATTCTCGCGGCGGATTCGGAAAGAGCGACCTCGAAAACTCTCAGTAATGTATTTATGAATTAAAATTTTCGAACATTTTTATAAAAATTCATAACATTGAAATCAACGCGAAATTTCTGTCCCAGCGGGCATTAATGGGTTAAGAGAAAAAAGATCGCTGTCACTCTCTCCTTTTCTACATAAAAAGAAAATATCTCCCGCATAAGTTTATCTTCCACCCGGGAATTAGAGACAAAGACACCATCTTGGGTTGGAACATTTAAAGCCAAGGGCAAATTGACCTGGGGTGCCGGTCAGCCTTGTTGCGGTTCTGATTCGAACAATCTAGAGAAGAGAGAGAAAAACGGATGTGTGGAAGAGGTTCGACCAAGACAAATAGGCTAACTGTCCAATTGTCAGAGCCGTAGCAAGCTTGACCCGCGCCTCTTCGTTGAGAGGAGATTTTCCGCGTCTCCGTGTCTGACAAATCGCCGCCGTTACCTCTGAGAAAAGAATTCAAACTTTGAGTTTTCACGAACCGCTCGATGCGAGAGAGTCTCTCGTCGTCGCGTCGGTTGCGTGAACATCATAGGCTGTTCCGCTTCTACTTTTGTTTACTTCGTCGTCTTCCCACAACGATACATTTGTCATATCTTGGCAACTAGGTTATCGAATTCTTCTTACGGCCATGTCCATTGTACAGCTATTGCGCGGCGAAGTAATCCGCGTTAAAATTATCGCGGTTGACTCACTCTGCGATAATAGAGAAACATCATTTGCGACGATTAGCAGAGCGGAGCTACGTGATATTCCAATGCACTTGAGGCAATCGGAGCGCAATTACGGCAACACCGCCAGTATCCTTTGAGGCGAGCGAGACAGACATCGTTGACGCGGATAGTACAGAATGCCGTTACGCTGATACTTGTCCCTTTTGGGTACCATTCTTTCACGTTACGGTGTCAAGGCTCTCGCGTGTCATGAACGTTTCACGTCCCTTTCTCAGCCCCGCGCTTTATCGTCTTTCTTTCTCTCTCGTGTTCTTTGATGCAGGAACTACACCGCTATATACTGGGTGCTCCGCACCAGATGCGCCGTTCTATGCGGGTAGGAAATGCCTCTTCGTGGAAAATGAAGTTGGAAATGCGGAATCGAATCTTTTTCTGCCCTAAAAAAAATCTCATTTAGTATATGTCCATTTTTAATGAATTTATTTTCAATGACGAACCCTTACATAATTTTACAAGAATGTATATTAATATTGTCTATTTTCTAATGAGTGAATTTATTTAATAAGATTATTTATTAAACAAATTTCAAATTTCAGGTATTTTTTGTGTTTAATATCTTCTATATATTACGTTTAATATTTTATTTTATACCTAATACTTTCTTATGTTTTCATATGTTTCGTATGTTTCATATGTTTTTATACGAGAACCGATTCTCGCTCGATGACTCTCGGTCAATGATCTCCATCCCCGAAAGCGCGCTCGCAACAATATTTCACGTTCGCGCAAACTCGCGTGCATGACGTGATCATTATGCTGTAATGGTCTCTTCTTCGTTTGATTTGCACAGGGAACGTCTGGTGAAGTACGCATACAAGATGTACCTGAGTCAGCAGACTTACTATAGAGTATCAGCTTTAGATACTAGGCTCGGAGGCGCCGAGCAAAGACTGACGGATGACCTATCCGAACTAGCCAGTTCCGTAGCGCACTTGTACTCTAGTTTAACCAAGCCGCTGCTCGACTGTGCCCTGGTGGGCATCGCCCTTATCTCTTTCTCGTCGAAAATGGGTGCGAAAACAATACCAGGTGAGATCAATATAACAAAAAGCACCCAAAAAAACTAATTTCAAACAATTCAGAACAAGCAGAATCATCTAAATTTTAGAGGATTTTATTCTTATATGGCCTCAAGAGGATTCCATTAAGGTTAAGAAGAAAATATTATTCTGAACACATTATTCTTAAAGTTGGAGGGATTATATGTTATATGTATAATACAAATCTTATTGATTTTAATATAAATTTCCTCTTATACACAGGTTATTTAATCTTTTTTTAAGAGGATTATTATTTATTCTTATTGTACTTTATTCTTACTGGTTATACTGATTAATTTGAAAAAATTATTATAATGTATGACGAAAAGTAATATATATAAGTTATATACTTCTGGTTCCAGTTCTATAATAAGTAAGCACGAATGAAATAAGATCATCATAACAAATAAATTTCCAATTGGTTTTATTATAGACTTCATAGCTGCAAAGATGTTCATCATAATCAAATGTATGAAACATAGTTAAAAAAAGAATATATTACTCAACTTCTTGCAATAGATTATAAACTATATTTGACCAAATATGGCTAAATTGTCTTCCTTATATGTTACAGCAATACATATACCTTTTTTAAAAAGTGTTCCAAATATTTTCTGACCCATGAACATATAATTATTTTCGTACATCGTTCATGTCTGGAGGTAGAGCATGACTGACCGAAAGAAGCCGACGTTCAGATCAACATATTCCTCTTCATACAAGAGGAAAATTAATTGATATAAGAGAAAATCCTCTTGAAATAAGAGGAAAATAGTTAGAATAATATCTAATAAATTTTAGATGAATGATTCACTTTAGTTTATCGAAAGAGAAATCCTTTCTCTGTAAAAGGCTTCGCTTAGAATACGAGTCTACGACAAAAATCACTTTACAAATAGAATATTTTTCTTTTTGGGTAAACTTAGATGTCTCGGCAGTGACGCGCTCTACGGTCAAACTGCAGTCAATTTTTCACTAAAAGCGCAAACAAATCATTCAAGCAAGAGCAACTCAGAGCAGGCCTCTGATTTTTAATTCTTCTCAAAAAATCTTCAAGTTTCCTTTTTTCCTGCTTTACTCCTTCCACTGCCGATGTTCTCTGATTTGTTCCGCAATAGATGAATAGTTCAATCTCTTCCGAATTATTTCTTTCGATCGTCTTAATCTCTTTGGTAAAAGTTAAATTTTTGTTCAACTCTTCTCGAGTTTCCAGCTTTTCCTAATGATTTCAATTTCCTCAGTAAGAATTCGATTTTTATTCAATATTGTTCTCAGTACTTTTTTTTAAGATTTCAATTTCCCCAGTAAAAGTTCGAGTTTTAGTCAGTTTTTTGTGCCAAGTACTTTCTCTGACGAGTTTAGTTTCCTCGGTGAGAGGAAAGTTCGATTTTTATTCGGTTCAATCGAAGAAGTTTTGTTCGATCTCGTTTCAAGCTCTTCTCCTGGCGATTTCCATTTTCTTAGTAAGAGTCGTCTCGTTCGGTTTTGTTCCAAGCGTTTTCCGTGACGACTTCAGTTTCTTCCACAGGGCCGTTACTGGCGGCGGCGGTGATCACTCTGACCGGGCAGGTTCTGCGCCTCGCTTCGCCGCGATTCGGTCAGCTGGTCGCGGAGGAAGCGGCACGACGAGGAAAGCTCAGGGAGGCGCACGCTCGTATTAGCGCCCACGCAGAAGAAATCGCTTTTTACAGCGGCCACGACACGGAGCATCGCTACCTGAACACCGCATACAAATCCTTGGTGACGCATCTGCAGCGCGTGCTCGCAGTCAAATTGTGGTACGTGATGCTGGAGCAATTCCTGATGAAATATGTGTGGTCCGGCACTGGACTCCTCGTCATCGCCATGCCGCTCCTTTATAACACAGCGGTCGCTCAGACGACGAATGGAATTTCCGAAAATACTGACGGTACGTGATAACATCGATAACGTCGCGTGCAGCTGCAAATTCACACAGGATTATTTACCTACACATAGGATTAGCTTTTTTACATGTTGTTCCGAACTTTACAAATTTGTTTAAATTTTAGTGGGTCGCTGATAAAATAAGTAATTGCAGATTTATTCAGTTAAAATAAAGTGATTACACTGTTCGATAAAAAAACAAGACAAGTTTTTTGGAGCTGAATATAGACGCTGACCTCCATATTCTTCCATCACGTCATAATTTTAAAGAAATTTACAGTTGAAATACATTTCTACGAGAAAGATTTCTATTTTTATGTTGTATTATAACTATATAATATGATGTACTGGAGAAGTTTTATTGTAGTCAAAATTAAGTACGATATCCATCATTTTATGAAATCTATCAAGTTGTAACGTAAGTCATTGTATGTAAATTAACATGATTGAAAAAACTGTTCATTAACTCATTAAAATATCTTATTACGGCCGACACAACAAATTCCTTTAAAACTTGAAAGTCCTAATAACATACTTAATTGCAATGACACTTCTCGAGCATATCACGTTTCGTAATTATAATATGACAAAATATGTGAAAATAGCCTTTTTTGCAGTTTCAACTGCAAAATGTCTCAAAATCGTGATGGAGCATTTTGAAAACCGGATTCATATTCAGTATTCAGAAAACAAGAAATAATTAGTGTATTAGTGTTTACTAGTGTACTAGTGTACTAGTGTATCAGTGTATTAGTTATATGAGTGTTCGAAAAAAGTAATTTTTGGTCGCGTTGATTGTTATAACTATTTATCAGACATTTGATTAGAGAAAAAGTCGTCATCAATTATTCTTTTATAATCAATGGAAACTAATTCTATGGTGACGTGCTAAAATATTTACTTCCTTCCTCGATCACCTTGACTGATGATATCAGAAGCAAAACAAGTCATACGTGAAATTTTGGTACAAAAAAGTACGTTGAAATCAATTGATTTAATATAAAGATACATTCATAATTTATATTGGAATATTTTATCGAAATATTTTATTTGTCATTTCATAAATATGTATTTTTAATTCAATATGTTTTCTCATTTCTAAAGAAGACCCACTAGTAAACACAAAAACCACAAAATATAATAACGAAGCAGTACATTCCCAATTTAATCAAAATGTCATCCTTAAGTACCACTACCTGTCACTTTTCAGTTAATCTTATTACGCGTTTGTGAAATGATTCCTCTCTCTTCCAATACCACTTTCAGAACCAGTAAAGTTTATCGACGGTCGTACGAACTTAAGCACGAGCTCCTGATACAAAAACAATTGATAGAACGAAACAAGAAACGATAAAAAAGCAAATAATCAACAATTATTAATACGTTGTATGTTTTATGTCAGGCGGCGTAAGCGAGCGGACAAGGTATCTGACGACCTCGAAGAACCTCTTAAGCTCCGGAGCAGACGCTGTGGAACGACTGATGTCATCCTACAAAGTACGTGTGCCCGTTGATTTCTCGTTTTATATTTTATGGATGCTTTTAAATTGTCAATTACTAATCAGTGGTATTCGCACGTTCGAGCAGGAATTGGTTGCGTTGGCGGGCTACGCGGCGCGCGTCAGCGAGATGTTGGATGTCTTCAAGGACGCCGCGCTTTGCAAGTACAAAAGGAACGTCGTTACGAGCGGCCCATCCAGACTCGCAAACGGCCACACGCAGCAATCCGTGGAGAAGGTTATCGAATTCAGCAACGGCACCCCGGTGATTAAAGGTAAAAATTATACGTCTCGTCTTAATCTTGAGACATAAGGGAGTACACACACACTGTGAGTTTCTTTCTTTTCCTCTCCCACTGAGAAGGGTCGGGATAATGACCGGTATGTTGGGGTAATCTTGTTTTGTAGTTGAAAGATTTTTGTCGTTAACATTTGACGTGTACTCTGATTAGCTTCTTTGTAATACTATTGATTGAAAAATTATTGTCTATTGGCTTTCTTGTAATATTATTGATTGAGAAATTATACACACAATTGACATCCCTTATGATTAAAGATGAAATTAAATACATGTTATACGCAAAAGGTCATATTTCGATAATATTTTAGGTTGAATATAAATGGAAAATGAAATATATAATACAGAAATATATATTAGGAAGTTGCATTGAAAGCCGCTGTTTTTTGTGTTTTTTGAGTATTTATTTCAATAACAAAATGTGTGAATACATCCATCAATGTATTTGCCCTCGGAAGCTATAACTTTTTCTCACTTTTCTCGCAGAAGTTGAATTCCGCGACGGAAGAACGGTCTGTCTTTTGAGCCAATCTATTCAGCAATCCAATTTTCAACTTCTCCGTAACTATGGAAATGTGCATCTTCCAAAGCGTGTTGCATCGATCGGAACAGATGGTAATTGCTTAGGGCCAGGTCCGGAGAATACTGAGTGCGGGAGAACCTCCCGCATTCGAGCTGCATCAGTGTTTGTTTCACGGCTATAGCAACATGGGGCCGAGCGTTGCCATGAAGAAGAATCACTTTTTGACGATTCGATGCAATTAATGGTCGTTTTTGCATCAAATTATCATTCAAACGTCCCAATTGTTGTCGATAATGTTCGGCGGTGATTGTTTCGTTCGGTTTCAACAGCTCATAATACACAACACCCTGCATATCCCACCAAATAGAGAGCATTGCTTTGTGACTGTGGATATTTCGCTTTAGTGTCGACGTTGATGGTTAGCCAGGAACAACCCGTGATTTCTTGCGTTTCAGGTTGTCGAAATAGATCCATTTCTCATCGCCGGTCACGATACGCCACAAGAAACTGTTCTTTTTATGTCTTGCAAGCAAAGAAATCGAGATGTTTAAACGATTAGCAATAGCATTTTCGGTCAATTCATATGGCAGCCATCTCCCTTCTTTCTGGATCGTTCCAATCTGGCTTGTAAACGTTGTGAAATGGTTGATTTATCGACTTCGAGCTGTTGAGCCAATTCTTCGAGTGTTTGAGCAAAGTTTTCTTCCAATAGAGCTTGCAGTTTTTCATCTTTGAACTTTCTCGATTGACCTGGCCGTTGTTTGTCGTGAACGTTACCATCACCACTTTTGAATCGTCGAAACCAATCTGTTTTCATGCCATACTGTTTCCAATAGTGCAGATTCGGAGCATAAGTTTTCGCAAGCAGTCAATGAGCTTCAGCTGCACTTTTTTACAGATCAAAGTAGTGTAGAAGTACACATCGGAAAAACAATTTATCGCGTTCCATTTTAATTCGGTTGTAGAAAAGCACTTGTTTAAACAAAGGATAGCGTTTGATGACTGAATTTCAATGGGAAATGTTCACATTTCAAAATGATATAAAAGACATTTGTCACTGCCCACAGCTAAAACCACCTATACAGCGGCTAAACAGCGGCTTTCAATGCAATCTTCTAATATAACTATATGTTATGAAATCATCTGTACTTCCTCTTTTCTTCTAATGAAATCTCATTCTGGATCTCCCTCAAAACAAATAAAAATTTACTCGAAGCGGTGATAAAAATATTGTCACTCGGAATCGTGAGAGTGAATGTTTCATTGAAGTTTAGAATGGACTTTCACTCTCTATGCGAGTAACTATTTGAATCAGAATAAATTTGTTCTCGCTCACGCAGTAGAATACATCAGATTTACTCTTCAATTTTGGATGAAAATATTCACGTGACGATTCAGAGCGGAGAATTCATTTTATACGAGTGAAAAATTACTCGAATTTTCCAAAAACGTCTGTCACTCTATCTTTCCAGTAAAATCTCACTTTGAGAAATTTAGAGAACAAAATTATACGAATCATTCGTTCATTCCGATAAAGTCGAATTATTTCATTTATTACAATAAAGCGATGCGATCGAATTGTACTGTTTATTTTCAAATAACATCGCGTATCTCTCTTTTTTCGTTCAACAGGAATTGTTCGCGAAAGCACAGACGGCAGCATAAAGCTTATTGATGTGCCCATAGTTACACCTAATTGCGAAGTTATCGTGCCTAGCTTAACGATCCACGTAAGTCAAATATTATTGTGTAACATACACAGTGTGGCTAAAAAGTTTTAGGCTCATAAACAAAACAGAAAGTATGGTAAACAAATTTTTATTATTTATTTTTAAATTTTTATTATTTAAAGCTATACTATATCGTTCGGCGCGCCCCGCCAGCCGTTCCAAAGCATGCTAGAAATCCGTTGCTGGAATGCTTCTTGGCTCCCTCGCTAAGTTAACTTGGATCGTCTTGAATCGCTGTCCTTTTAACTTCAGTTTCAGCTTTGGAAACAAAAATACGCCGGTGCCAAATCCACCGAATACGATGGATGGTGTAGCATAGTAACAGTTTTTTTCACTAAAAACTGACAAATTACTGCTGCATTGTGAGACGGCGCGTTACACGATTTCATGACAACCGCAAATAACGCATGTTGCATTTCGGCGAGAATTTAACGGATTAATGCAACCTTATTGGACTACATGCTTCCGTTTGTCGCATACAGAGAATGCCGCTTCTATTACATTGGTCCGAAAACTTTTTAGCCACACTGTATATAGTTAAGGCTATTCAATTATTTTATTATCAATAAGAGTAAAATAGCTTCAAGAAAGATGTATAGTATAATTATACTGACTGATTTCATCGATGTGTTTCTTTCCTCTCATTTTCTCTATTGTATAAGCAGAAAAAGAAAAGAAATTGGAAAAATTAATTAACCACGACTGATTGACGCTGCAGATCAAGCCGGGCGATCACGTGCTCATCACCGGACCTAATGGATGCGGCAAGAGTTCCCTTTTCCGCGTTATCTCCGGACTCTGGCCCGTGTACGACGGTACTTTGATCAGACCAGCCGAGAGGAATTTGTCCGAGCAAGGCAGACCAGCCCTATTTTACATCCCACAGAAGCCGTACATGACGGTCGGTTGTTTGCGCGACCAAATCATATATCCGGCCCAGTCCAGGTGAGAATTGTTTATCAAGCACTTTGAAAGCATTCTATTTGCTCTTATCTTATTACGCGTTTATCGCTCGTCAAATGTCGTGTCATGCAGAGTATTATTCAATTTTTGCACGTAATCTACGTAGTGATGTCAATTTTTAAATATCCGGGCATTGTACTCAAGTTCTTCGAACTATTACTTGACTCTATCTGCGTATTTATCAAATTATCAGGATATTCCAATGCTCGAATATAAATATATATATATAATATATATAATATAATAACTTAATAACTATTGCGATTTTTACAAAATGGTAACATGACTTTTCTTGTCAGTTTCATCTGATTAAGCTTCATAATTTTTCGTTTCCTGGACACTCTGTATATATAATTTATATAAATATTTAAGAAAAACGTAAGACTTTGTTATTTATTATCGTTATTTATCATTATTACTTCTTATTATTCTGCAAGTCATTCTATATGTAAAAATATTAAAATAAAGTATATAAATATTTTCTGAAATACTTAACTTTCACGTTGAGACATGTCAATGTAAAATATGTACCTGGGAAAATATATTCAACATTCATTGACCTTATTTTAACACTTTTATACGCAAATTGATGAGAATAATATTTGAATATGAAGAAAGACGTATGATTCCATTAAAAAATTGTTTAATTCCAAGTATTCTCTGGGTATTCGGGCAATATTCATATGAGTTTATAGATATCCTGGTATAAAAATAATAAACTTCTATTAACAACGTAAATTTTACGAACAGAAATACAAATCTCCCATGAGTATAAACTGCACTCGAGTATACTGTCAGGGAAATGTTTACAATCTTGCCTTTCAAACTTTGCAATTTTTAAATCCCCTTGAATTAATTCATTTATCAGCGAAATAAAGTCTCCTGGACAGCAGATTTCCTGGTGCATTAAATAGACGCAAGAAACTCGCTTTCGCCTGAGTCGAAAAACTCAGAAACGAGTTAATCGCTAATGGGTGTATATGTGATTACGTTTTCTAGTAATTCGCGCAACTGCTCGGACGAGGAGCTATTGCAATTGCTGGATGACGTGGACCTGCGCGGCCTGGTCGAGCGTGAACCCGAAGGCTTCGACGCCCTGGGTGACTGGGACTCCACCCTGTCGGGCGGCGAGAAACAGCGTCTGGCGATGACGCGACTCTTCTATCACGCGCCGCAATATGCTCTGCTGGACGAATGCACGAGCGCGGTAAGCCTGGAGGCAGAGGGTATTATATATGAGACCGCCAAGAAGAAGGGCATTACCCTGCTGACCATCACGCATCGCGTGGCCTCCCTCGCCAAATATCATCGGCTGCTGCTGCGTTTTGATGGCGAAGGCGGTTGGACCTTCGGTCCGTTGGACGAGAAGAACCTGTTAGTACCACCAAATCGGGAGCAGCAACCCACAAGAGAAGTGGAGCGGGAAGAAGAGGCAAAACCGAGCCACTACCAGATGCTGCACGTACGTGAAAGAAAAACAGAGAATTTCTTTAGTAAAGAAATTAACTTCATTAGTTGGACAGAATGATCCAACTATTTTGTTAATTTATACTGGGTTTAATAGACCAATTGATTGGTTACTTGATAGCGGAGGATTTAACAATTCGATTAATTTGTTCGCTTATAGTGGATATTTTGGATGATCCAGTTGATTTGTTATTGATTGATTTATTAAACGTAGTTACGTAATTTGTTCATGTTATCATTGACTTAATTCCTTAATTGACTTAATTTTTCTTTCGCAGGAGCTACGTGGTATACATCCCGAGGAGAGTTATGTGGGAATAAGTTGAAGATTACGATCTATAGAATTTTATGCAAAGATTTTATGTTAACAAAAAACCATATAAATATATGGTAGATATAAGAAATATCCATTATAGTTATTCTACATCATATATCTATTTTATATATGGAATATAAAATAGACATAGGTACATATTTATATATATGTGTGTGTGTATGTGTGTGTATATACATATATATACACACACACATATAAATGTACACGCAATGTACACACACACACATATATATATATGTGTGTGTGTGTACATTGCGTGGAACTGACGATAAAATGTATTATCGTAGCAATACGTATGGATGATCATGTATATATTTTTATATGTATATATTTCTCCGGGGTTGCATGCTGTACAGAATTGCAGGAAACTATTTTTTAACTAAATTTTAGAATGAATAGGCTCGCGAATCGCTTAGTTTATCATAAGTGCTTTAAGAAATTAATATACATCACAACTATGAAAGAAAAGTGAGAAACTTGTTGATACAAGACTGTTTTCATGATTATAGACAATTTTTCGATTAACGACGACTACTTTTGATAATGCCTTGATAAAACCTTGATTAATTGGTAAAATGAACAATATATAGTGAATAAAAGAGGGAGATATCATATGTTTATCTGTCCTTCTTTAAGTAATCTTACAAACTTAGGGTGCTAATTTACCATATTATGATATAGATCTATTCATTGCATACTTGAGACTCATGCGAGCTCTTTTCGTTTATATTTTATCTTCCAAAATATTTAATTCTTTAACTTTCAAAATCTTTTTATCATGAAAATATTTGCCCTTAATCTTTCACGGTGTATCAACTTTATTAATGCATATCTTAATTGTGTAATTGCGTAATGATAAAAAAGAAATACATATATCTTCTGACAGAAACATTGTTTTTCTTTAGATAAATGTATTTGAAAGAAGTGGTAAAAAGCATAGAAATATTTTATTTTTTTCATAAAAATATTTTTATCATGAAAATATTTGCTCTTAATCTCTCACGGTGTATCAACTTTATTAATGCATATCTTAATATCGTGTATGTAATTGCATAATGATAAAAAAGAAATACATATATCTTCTGACAGAAACATTGTTTTTCTTTAGATAAATGTATTTGTAAGAAGGGGTAAAGCATAGAAATATTTTTATACGTACTGTATATATTCTGATATGAAATAGCTATTCTTCTACGGCGAATATACCAAGAAAATGGGAATAAATATATAAAAGTTTAAGGCATATTATTTACCGGACGTACTACATCAATATATTATATTATTAGGTTTACGGATTAATTTTAATGAGGCGTATCAGAGTTATTTTATTTATTAAGAATAAATTTGTATGCATCACATAAACATGTTGAAAATACTGCAATGGACTTTTTGTTCTTCCTCGACTGCGTGCCACTTTTACTTCAACAGAGATCGATTGCCTATAATCAAATAAATGATATGCAAGACACATTATTATTTTCTCGTAATTATAACGTAACAGTCTGTCCCAGATACGATGAGACTGGTTCCATCAAAGTTCTTAGCGCAGCGATATCTATGAGTGAATGATGGTAGGTGAATGTTCTTCCCTTCATCTACTTAATCTCAAAATTTGAGCGAATTCGGTTGATATTTCACTGTGGTTTGACATTTTATGTAAAGTCACTTTGTATACGTCGGTCGAAAAACCAACTTTTAAATTGGGTAAAAGTGGTGCAAAAACGTACGAAACGCTAAAAAATGTGTACGGGGATGAATGCATGTCCCGTGCACAGGTTTTCCGTTGGTTTGGCCGAATTCCGTGACGGTCGTGAGGACCTTGCAGACGATGACCGAGCACCGCCGCCAAAAACCATTCGCAATGAAAAAAACATCGAGAAAGTCAAAGAAATTCTTCGAAGCGACCGCTGTGTGTCTGTCCAGATATTATCTGGGAGTTCTACAACGATTGTGGGCCAGAATTCGACGAGTTCGACCGGAATATCGAGAACCAGGCAGTTGGTTTTTGTTGCACGATAATGCACCATCGCACAAAGTCATCATGGTACGTGAATTCTTGACCAAAAAAGGCATCATTGTTATCGATCATCCACCGTATTCACCTGATTTGGCTCCGTGCGACTTCTGGCTATTTCCCAAACTGAAATTGACGATGAAAGGAAATCGTTTCGATACTATCCCGGTCATACAAAAGACTTCGACCGCCATACTAAAGGCCATTCCAGCCGATGAGTATAAAAAATGTTTCGAAAAATTTGTCGAACGTTTTCAGCGCTGTATTGACTCAGAAGGAGACTATTTTGAATAAACAAGAATAAAAAATCAAAATAATAAACGCTTTGTATTTTTTTTAGACCAGTCTCATTGGATCTGGGACAGACTGTGTATGTCTCGTAATTATAACGTGCATTCGAGACGTTTGAGCTTTATTTACATAATTCTCTTTTGGTCATTGTCGCATATCTGAATGGGAGGCAAATCTGCATAAAAACTCTTAATTAATTGCATATAACGACCTACCTTTAATTAAATTTTTTACATGAGAAAATTACCTGTAGGAATTGCAATAATTATTGTAGCAAAGGTAAAATAGACTTTTATAGAAATTTATCCTTGAATGAAATTCCTTTATTAGTGTGATCAATATTAATAAATATATTTATATACATGGTGTTCATTTGAAAACTTTCCAGCTAATTATCTCGAAAACTATGAAAGATATTAAAAAAAGTTAAAACACGTGTTCCATGATTTCGAAGGGGAAAGAGAAAATAGTATTATCAGTTTTTTTATTTAGAGGGCATTTTCAAGGTCAGTTGAAGGTCAACTTAATTTTTTAAAATACAAAGCCCAATTTTTTATTACAACTTTTTTTCTACCAATTAATTTTAACTTTTGTCTGAAACATTTGTATATTTGCCTAATATTTTTTGAAATATTTGTTAATAACTAACTTTTGTTAATTTAATAATTTTGAAATTTCCAAAGGTCGATAAGTTATTAAAAGTTAGGGCACTATTATAATAATATATTCTTGATAGTAAATAAAGTAAAAAAGTCTAATACTATTTTTTCTTTCGACGAATAGTTAGCGAGATATCGTAACTTAAATGTTGAAAAAGTTACCAAGTTTTCCTTAAATATTTCAAAAAATATTAGGCAAATAAAAAAATGTTTCCGACAAAAGTTGTCAAACAATACAACAATAATCTTGACGCCCTCGATAATTTCACCTTCCGTCGCCCGTATATTTGCTCGCTAAACTGGGAATCATGCGAAATTATCAGCCTCAGGTTGCGCGACTTCAACACAACAAAGAGGAAAAAACTAAAGAAAAACATTACTGAGTTGCGGAGGTGCGCCAATTCTAGACGATTAATTTTCCAACCGCGAATCCACCCGGATTCCCTTATGCAACTTTACAGACCAGATCTTTATTTTATTCTCGAAGTTCGCCGCATAGGAGAGAAAGAAAAACAGCTTCTCTACCTACCCTCCTCCTCTCCTTCCTCCTGGACACTCGTAAACTCGGTTTCATTTGCCTCATCGGCACCCCGAACATCTTCATGGACGTTGCAGCTGCAACTCCTGCGACGACTCGCACATTAATTCGCTCGGTGCTCGGGGGAAAAATTTAATTACGTATGTTTCTTTGTTTTTGAGGAGGGCTCGTCGGTCGACGAGCAAGGCGGACGAGAGGGAGGGAAGGAGGGAGGGCGCGTACAAGAGGGAGCGGCGATGCGGCGGGGGTGGGAAGACCCGCAATTCCCGATGAGCTTACCTCGGGGAAACCCCGCAAACGTCAAACGTCGATACGCTCGTGAGCCGGGGGCAGCCATCTTGGGGGGTTGCGAGCCGGCGTTCCTCCCTCTCTCTTGCAAACTCTAATGCTCCAAAGCAATTTCGGCGTCTCCATGTCGACGATTCCGTCGAACGAAGAGATAAAATAGAATCGCCCACGTCGGGACGATTGGCGACGGTGACGACAACTCGAGATTGACACGCGATCGATGGCCCTTCTCACTAACCCTCTTCCTCTCTGCCGGCCACCATTAAATTTTGTTCTTACCTTCCCGAGAGGATACGGGAGAAGATATGGGGCTTTCAACGAACCGAATGATGAAACGAGTCAATTGCTACCTCAACGGAGCTATACTTGGGTTACTCCGAATGATACGTATGCTAAAAGAAAAAATATCTATTCGATGGGTACTAATAACATATTTATTGGAATCTAAATTTTTTTACCTATACAGAATATATGTATATTCCATATAATTATCATGTACGAATATGTAATAAATAATAGCTCTTGGGAAAAGTTGCTTTTTAGAAAATGTACTCTTCCTCATTTGAACAAAAATTTATTTTCTACGTAAAGCTACGTATATATGTTAGTATAATTACTTAAATATAATTACATCAGTATTTACAGAATAAATATTTTTATTTTTAGGATATTTTTTCACTAATGTACCCGTATTATGGGATTGTTCGCCAAGCGAATTGTTCGCATCTCTCATACAGGGTTAGAAAAGTTTTTCTTTAAAAGTAACGTGTTATAATTATTCGTTATCCTCCACGAGTAAATAATGACTGATGCTACTCATTTTGAAAGACAACTCGCTGTTCGTGTTATCGTTATTCAAACACGAGTCATCAAATAACGAGAGTCGTTACAATTTTTCTTACTTTCTTCACTAAATTTTGAAGACTCCTTTTTTACAGTTTGTTGCCGCCGATACTATATTTCATTTGCGCAAAATAACAACGAAAATAAATATAAAGCAACGAGAAAGTAAATACGGAGCGGATACAAAGTATATACAAATACAACATGTAAAGTAATGATCATATTTTCCATTGATGTTTAAAAACGTATTGCCGTTGTCATTGTCATCGTTATTAACAGACAAGAGAGAAAATAATACCGTTGCCAAATTAATATTAAAAGAAGTAACATGTAACAAGGTAACGAATAATTTTTTGCTCCTCGAGTCCTGCTCTTCTTGCATCAGAACTTTTTCAGAATTTTTTACTTTCTAACCAAAGCCGAGAAAGTTATCTTTTAAAAGCGAGTCGTTCTTCCCAGTAACTCGTCAATGTTATTTGGACTCTCACGTTGGAAGGTATGCAATCACCATTATCCTTATTCAAGAAATGACGGGACAATTTTTATTAGAATTTCCGTCGCTTGCTTTCACGAAGTTATATAGATTTTCTTCTTCACCATTCCCTGCCACCATTCATTCGAATTCATTTGAAAAGATCAACTGAAAAAATGCAACTTAAAAGAATAGTGGCAAGTAACACATCACTTCCCAATCCTGCTCTCACCGCATCAAGACGCTCACTAATGCCATGGGGTTAAGAGAATTATTTTCTGAAAAGTAAATCATTATTTTCACATTGCTCACTAAAGATGTAAATCTTTAGCATTAACTCGACTCATCTTTTTCATGGAGTTGCAAAGATCTTCTGTTTCACCGTTCGTCGCTATCCATTTACCGAAAACAAGGGAACTTGAAGCAGTAACGACATTACAAAGTAACTCACTACTTTCCAACCCTGCCATTATCGCTCTGAGACGCTTCTCAAGTCCAACGGGAGGGTCTGTCAGAGACCCTACTGTTAATTCCACTATGAACTCGCGTTCGCATCACCCGATACATTCGTCCACGACTCGCCGGGGCGATAATACACCCGCAACAACGCGTTCTCTCTCTCTCTCTCTCTCTCTCTTTCTCTCTCTCTATCTCTCTCTCTCTCTCTCTTTCCCGAATCGCGTCTCGAGTTTCTTATTTTCGAGGAAGGGTTGGCGACGACCATCGCGCAACCGGGTTACGACAGCGCGCATCTGCCGGAGGAAAGAGCCGGCTAAGAAAATAAAACGGGGATCGTCATCGTCGTCGTCGTTGTCGTTGTCGGCGAGACACAAGCATCGAAATCAACCGTTTCCTGAGGGATTAGGATACGTCCACCTTCTGCCTCCCTCGCGACGCGGCCCTCCGCCGCTGATCCCACAGAGGATGAGATGCGTTCACCGTTCTTGCCGCCTGAGCCCGCCGACCGTCCGTCCGTCCGTCCGAATAGCCGATTAAATTACACGCGGCGCGTGCCAGCCGGCCGCCACGTACACGCTCGTGTCTCCGCAAGGCGATCGAGCCGAGCACCTAATAAAGCCGCAATCCTATCATTGAGATTCGGCAGGAGCGATAGAGAGGACCCCCGCAAGCGGGACCCCAGGGACGCGTACGAAAATCCGCATGCAAAAGCGGACGCAATGTTGCTGATGGATGTAAGAATGCGCAACGGAAGCTTCTATGGGACTGCGTGAAAAAGTATCTTGTAGAAAAGATGACACGTGAGAATGGT